GGCTAGACCAGAGGATGTACACTGGTACAGATGGCAACTGGAAACACAGGGAATCCAGGGCAGATGACTCCTTCAGGACCAGTGGTGAAAGGAGCAAGGCCTGGAGGGTGAAGGGAATGTGGAGTGGAAAGGGGGAACCGATTACAAGAATCTAGATATTGCCTCCTTCCTGGGGGAAGGACAGCAGAGTGCAAAACTATGACAAACTGTAATAAGTTGTGAATTATGAAGGTTCATGAGGGGGGAAAATGAGCAACTGATATTAAGGGCTGAGGTGGAGGGCAAATGTTTTGAGGATGAGGGCAGCGATTGTACATATGTGCTTGACACAATGGATGTGTGTATGGCTCGTGATGAGAATTGTACAAGCCCAATAAAATAATTTAAAAAAAGAAAAGAAACAATGGGAGGAGGTGGCACGGTTCATTAAGGTGATTGCAATGGATGATTTGAATCAGTATTTTTGAATACAAAGCTGTGACCTGCCTTGTAAACTTTCACCTAATTCACAATAAAAGGTTTAGGGAAAAAAAAGGAAAGACCTACTCACTCAGGTGGTTTTTAACAACATCCCTTCCATCATTCCTATGGAAGGTTGGTCCTACTGCAAGTTAAATTACGAAGCACGTGTTTAAGCCAAGTCTTAATGTTAGAGAAAGCCAACAAATTACATTCTTAATAGGCAGCAAAGGTAGAGCCTGGACCAGAGAGAACTGGCAATATTGGACTGAAATTGGAGATAAATCAGTGAAGGCCTGAGAAGCTGGAAGACAATGGACAGTTCAAACACAAAAGGTAGAATCTTATATTTGAAGGGGAGACTGAGGCATGGAGTGTACAGTAGAAATTGTAGCCTTTTATCCAAGTCACCTAAATTCTTAAAATGTGTGCATCAAAATTAGGTATATAAAGCCTACTTGAGTTTCGCAAATTATATTTTCTTCAGTTTTAAAGATAGGATTTTGGATAGCTGTGTGATCCAACCAAGTTTTCCTTCAGCCAGTAAACTATTCAAAATGACCAGTTCTCAAAAGTTGTCAGAACTGATTGTGAGCGTTTTAATTTCTACCAACAGTACAAGGAGACACAGATGGCCATATAAAAACAGAATTAACACTAAAAGCTAGTCATTTTCACCTCCTCCAATAAACTTCACTTACTGTGTGGAACTGTAATGTGATGCCACTAGACATTATTTTTCAGAAACTCACAAAAACTTATCTGTCAATTTCTGTTGGTATTTTCCCTTTATGTACATTTTATACTTTAAAATTACCTTTAAAAGTCACTTTGAATTAACTGAGAAACAAATCAATCTAAATAAATCTAGAGGGATAAAGATTGTCTACCCAAAGTATAAAGAGATCACAGAACTGCCTTAAAATACGAAGAAAATATTTTTATTTTTATATCAAAAATGATTAAGAAATGATGGTATGAGAGTAGGAGTTGATGTGAAGACGTAAGATGTTATAAGACTGAAATGCTACCGATGATAAACCACTCATTCCGCCTCCCTCAGCACTGTAGCGGCACCTGTATCCCTGACTTGAGTCTTGAACACGCTATATCCAAGTGTTTAATTAGTAAGAGTTCTCTTCCATTAGTCTTCATTCTCTCTCTTTTTTTTCTTTTTCTTCTTTTTCTCTGGACTCTGAAAATAGCAAAAAAAAAAAAAAAAAGCTTTAGAAAGAGCTATGATGTAAGGGTAATAATCTTTTCCTTTTAATAATTAAAAAATCTCTTATTTGAAAATAAATCGGGGGTAAGGCTTTATGAAGTGATGGTTGGTTTTTTTTTTTTTTAGCTAACTGAAATTTAAATCTATAAAAAGTACCCCTGGGAGAGTAATGTTTAGCAAATCTCACCCCCACATCTCAAAGCAAACTCATTTTTAGATTCTAGGTTTGAGGTGGCCTTTTCAAAAATTAGTTCAACCCGGCATTATTTTTGCCTATCCACAAACCCCAAATTTTACAACCAATTTCTAAGCAGTGTGCATTAGGGCGTGGGTTAATTATGACAGGAGCTGGCCCATGATAACCCATTATTGTTAACTAAAGAAGCATACAGAAATTGCTGTGGGGCTGCATGGCTCTTCCTCAGACGCCAGTTCTTCTTTAATGTGCTTCTTTTTATCCTTTTTCTTTTTCTTCTTCACAGAGGTTTCCTCTTCTTCCATAACGACCACTTGTTCTTCTTCCTCTTCAACTGAGTAAAATGTAGACAAAGCAATTAACATGGCCAGATGATGCATTTGAGAACCCTCAAGATCCCAATGGAACTACAGTAACATTGCTCAACTCAACCTAAACAGCTGATGCTGATTAATTCCAGACCTAGTCCCAAACCATTACATTTGATGCTCCTTTCTACCCATCCTTTGACTAACCTAGTTAATGCACTACCATGACATGGTATTCTTAACCATCTCCTAATAGCTTCCTCTCGCTCTCTATGTGCCAAGAACACAGCGCCCCCTTCACTTCCTCTTGAGCTCCACTTGGAATTTGAGTTCTTTCTCCATGCTCATTCTCACCTATTCTTCTGGTCAGGGAAGCCTTGTCTGAACTTCTTCCCGGGAAACAATTTTATTGCTAAGACTAATTCAGTGATAACAATTATACTTTTCAAGTGTTGGATACTGTGACTAGCTTTGTGTTATCTAATTCCTATATTCCACAACTACCCCTGCACGCACATTCAACTATCAAAAAAGTTTTACTGACCAATTTTACAATCACTTTGAAAAATTTTAATTTTACTCTTAGTACGATAGTTCCAATGGTAGAAACTAAAGTTTTTGTACAATTGGTTCAAGTTAATCAGATAGAAAGGCATGCACCATACATTCCTTAAGTAATTAATTTAACAATATCCTAATTACGGTATTCTCAGTGAACCTGGTGGCTTATTAAAACGCCAATAGTTTTCAATCTGGTGGCTTCATAATAAAGATACACCTCTAAGATTTATGTTGTTCTTAAAGAATAAGTATAAATGACGAAAAACCGAAACCAACCTTTGACTTTAATCTTGGCTTTTTTAGCTTTCTTTTCTGTAATTTCATCGTCTAAATCTACCTCTTCTATCTTACGTTTTTTAGAACAGGTTGGCAGTGTGGAGTCTCCAGAAGGATCATATGTCTTTACTTCACTGTAAAAAAGCCAGTTTCAGAAAAGGTCAACAAATATCTTTGATATATTTCTCGAAAGAAGAAAATATCATTAGACTTACGTACATAAGCAAAGGATACGGTTTCATTTTAGTGGCTTTGGAAAGACTAACACAGTTTCTATAATGTAAAAGCATTCAACTTTCTTTTGTTGGCATTCATCTTTTAAAGTTGGCCAACTACGCTCAAGGGAAATGCTGTTAGGTGCCAGTGAATTCGTTTTTGACTCATAGTGACCCCATGAGTGGAATCATCTCAAGGCTTTCAAGACTGTATTCTTTCTCCCATGGAGCCACGTGGTGTGTTTGAATCAATACCTTGTGATCAGCAGTAGTGTTTAACCACTGCGTCACCAGCACTCCTTAAGACCAGTGATAAATGAATTCTGAAAACAATTCCATCAATGCAATAGAACACTGGAGAAATTCTCTTATCAATTGACTACAACAGAAAACAAAAATTGAAGCATTTCAAAGTTTCAGAATATTGATTGGGTAATGCAGTGCAAGAGCAAAACAAAAATATCTAAACCAAAAATTTTACATTGTCTTCAATACAATAATTCCATTATGCAGAGGAAAAAGAGGGGATATACACACAGATTCACTAAGCCCACGATTGATTTTTGGTTCAACAAAGTATAAAAGAAGAAAACAGGAAATATGGTATACCTAAATATGGTATACCTAATTGGCGTTTCACATGCCTATTGGCACAGGAACATAAATTTTTGTTCAAATCACAAAATACTTAAAATTACAGAAGTTATGGTTACTATAGAAAAATTAAAAAGTTCACAAAATACAAAAGAAATACCCAGAAAGTCCCTTTACAGAAGGGTCTCGGGGAGGAGACAAGCCAGTCCGGTTGCGATGCAGCAATGATGAAATATACAACTTTCCTCTAGTTCCTAAATGCTTCCTCCCC